TTCTATTTTGAAAATACAGCTGTCATGTTTTTATTTTACAAAAGTTCTTTTTTGTTTTCTCATTGTTGTTTTTTAAAAAAACGGCCTCTTCTCCCATCTCTTTGAGGATGCGAATGATAATTTCCATTATAACTTTTTCTTCTCCCTGAACTGCCTCTTATTACACCAGTTGCCTTTATTCCCCCGCTGTTGGTCTGATTCCTCTTTCACGTGCAAGGCTTAGTGACTTGGGCTGTCTCCTCCTGTACAAGAATGAGATACGCAGTGGGAGGTGTGTGTAGGAATGGATGGCAGGCAGGGAATAGGCTGCTTAGTTGAGGACCTATACATATCTGAGCCAGGAGCTTTTCGCTGCAGCCACTGGGAGAAGGATCCCCACCCCCGCCTCAGGTTCCTGTTGGCAGAGGAGCACAGCTGAGCGTCTGCTTCTAGATGGGGAGAGCTGCGTTTCAGCAGGATGGGCCTCAGGGTTCTGCGCTTGGACATCCGCTGCCCTCCTCTGCCGACTGCTGTGGCCACTCTGTCTAGTCCAGGGTCTCTGCAGATCTTGGACTGTGCATAACCAACCCAGTATTTGCTGTGTGGCCACATTGCAGACAAACCTAAATTACAGCAAGGTTCTTTGCAAGTCCTCTCTTGGGCAGGCTTGGATGAGGTGTGTAAGCACAGGTTTCATAGTCTGTGCTCTGGTGACCCTGCGTGTTGAGCGGCACATCAACAGAATAGCAGAGCATGGACGCAGTGGAGAGTGACCCAGGTGTGGAAGCTATGGTTGTCGAGCCGCTCCTTTTGTTTTGGGGGGCTTGCTTATATGGCAGGTCTGAGCGGGTGGCAGGCTGGTGTGCTGAGTGGACTAGGAAAAGACAAGCAAGAACTGGGATGGCCGGCGCCGCGGCTCACTAGGCTAATCCTCCGCCTTGCCGCGCTGGCACACTGGGTTCTAGTCCCGGTCGGGGCGCCGGATTCTGTCCCGGTTGCCCCCCTTCCAGGCCAGCTCTCTGCTGTGGCCAGGGAGTGCAGTGGAGGATGGCCCAAGTGCTTGGGCCCTGCACCCCATGGGAGACCAGGAGAAGTACCTGGCTCCTGCCATCGGATCAGCGTGGTGCACCGGCCGCAGCGCGCCTGCCGCAGCAGCCATTGGAGGGTGAACCAATGGCCAAGGAAGACCTTTCTCTCTGTCTCTATCTCTCTCACTGTCCACTCTGCCTGTCAAAAAAATAAAAAAATAAAAAAAATAAAAAAGAACTGGGATGAAGCCACTGTGCAGGAAGTTTAGAGGAAGTGGGTTTATTAACTCAGAGAAGGCAGGCAGGCCGGGAGGCTCCATGTCTGCACCACTCAGTCTCTCAGCAAAGATTTGTAGACTTGCAGTACTTTGTGCATGGTGGTGAGTCACTTCTCAACCCCAGCTATACATTAGAATCTCCAGGGCTCACCACAGACCAATTAACTAAGAACCTGTGGAGGTGGGGCCTGGGAACGAATATTTTCCGTAAGCTCCCAAGGTCCTTTTGATTTGCAGGTGGGATTGAGACTCACAAGGATGGGACTTTTATGGAAGAGGATCAAGTGTCAAATAGGACTCCTAAGGGAAGGTGCCCAATTGTAGCTTAAAATGTGGCACTGAAAATGTGAGTGATGATACAAAGTGTTTATAAATGCCAGGTAAGTTGCTTGTAAAACACAAGTAGATGGGCCGGTGCCCTGGCTCACTTGGTTAATCCTCCACCTGCGGCTCCGGCATCCCATATGGGTGCCGGGTTCTAGTCCCAGTTGCTCCTCTTCCAGTCCAGCTCTCTGCTGTGGCCCAGGAAGGCAGTGGAGGATGGCCCAAGTGCTTGGGCCCTGCACCCGCGTAGGAGACCAGGAAGAAGCTCCAAAGCTCCTGGCTTTGGATCAGTGCAGTGTGCCAGCCATAGTGGCCATTTGAGGGGTGAACCAACGGAAGGAAGACCTTTCTCTCTGTCTCTCTCTCTCACTGTCTAACTCTGCCTGTCCAAAACACACACACACACACACACACACACAAGTAGATGAGCTCAGAGTAAGGAGCTCCTTTTGTATGTGGGACTTTTAGGGACTTAACTGGTACCAGTTTTGTGATTGTCCCTGACTTCCATTCTAGAGGGGATACAGAGGGAATAATAAATGCTTCATGTGCAGGAGAAAATTCTATTCTAGGTAGAGGAAAATAAATTGGAAAGTTAAGTGCAACAGGAGTCTGAAGAGGTGTATTAGAAAAAAGTTTCTAGCTGAAGGTGGAATTTGAGATTTGCTTTAAAGAACTCCAAAGAATTTTAACTTAATAATTTAAAAAGTAAGTCATGAGTACATGTTACTTCCCAGGCACTCTGCTAAGCATTTACACGGATTATCTAATTGAATTTTCACAGTAGCCTTGTGAGTGATGCATTATTATCTCTGTTTTGCAGGTGGAAAAACAAAGGCTTGCTTGGGGGTTAAAGAAATGTGCCAAAGGTCACGCAAGTTATTAAGTGGTGGAGTAATTCTAGCAGGGCTGTGTGGCTGTTGAGCTGGGCTTACAACCACCATCCACAGGGCCGTGGTGAGCAGAGGAGAGGGGCCAGAGCCCACTGAGTAAGTGGCAGGTCAGGGTCAGGTTGAGTATTTGATGAGAAAGGTGAGTTGGGGCCAGTTCAGTTGGTCAGAGGTTTTGACTGCCTGTTGCATGGAATTTAACTGTATTTAACTGTATGGTCTGGGCACTGTGGTCTCAAGAGGTTTTTAAGGCAGGGAGTGTAGTGATGAGAACTAATGTTCAGGAAGACTGGAAAGACTGGAAACACGGAATCCAGTGCAAAAGATGTGTCCGTAGTAAGGTGTGAATGAGTGAGGGGGAGATGGTAGACAGGAGAGGTTGGGGCAGTCAGGCAGGGCACGTGGGCACAGACAGGACCTGGGGTTGTTCAGATCTGACATCAGCATGAACTAGGTTTTGGAGTTAAGAATGTCTGTTCTTCAGAGGCTGAAGGAAAGGGCAAATGATTTTTTTTCTTCTGAAATTAAGTTATTTCCATATTAGTTCTAGGGTTGTAAGCATTGTGTGACCTTTGATTCATTTCAGTTTGGGATATGATTTATGTAGGCCTTGTGACTAAGCTGTTTCTTGTGGCTTATCTAAGCGCCTCTGAGATAAAGGAATTACATAAATACAATCTCTGATTCTAATGTCAGACTCTGGTAATGTATCTCAGTCTGCCAAGAAATCCCATCTGTCGTTTCCCTGCTTCCTTTTCTTTAGAATTAATTATAACCGCCTATAACCTCCAGGTTGGGTACAGATTGTAACAATTCAAGAACTTTCTTTGAAATGAGACCTCTGTGGCACTGTGCTTCTATGCCTGACCCACGTCTTCAAATCCTAGGGCAGCATGAGAGGCAGGTGACAGCAAGGGGAGAAGGCGGGAGTGCATCAGTCTCTGTAGAGCTGTGTGGTGACTGTAGTCATGCGTTGGCTTATCAACGCCTCTGTGCTAGGATTACTATCGTCAAAGGTATGTGGAGATACTACCTGAACCAGGTGTGAGAAATTCAAATACCTCCTTAGTAATGATTTTCATAAGGGCTAAAGAGTTTAGGCCAAAAATAATTAAAGTGAACAATAGCCCTGTCAGCAAAGCTCCCAAATAATGAGAAGGCAATTAATGAGTGAATGGGCTCATTGTTCTTTTTGATTGCAGGCATTCGTCATCTCCCTCTACGTCATGATAAGCGATGCCATGTTGCATGTCTATGTTTTTATATAATACTGTTAGTTTAAGTTTTTAACTTTCATTTTATTCATATTATTTAATCTTTTATTTTGTTTGAAAAATTATGTGACCCACCCCCCCTATGACAAACTTAATGAGCAAGAGGTTTTAGATCTTTGGAGTGTCCTCTGTTCACTCCCTGCGATAGGCCCTTAATCAATGTTCCGATGGTGTCATTGATGGTGATGATAAAACTTGAGTGCTCACATTGCCCAGCAAGGCTGCCTCTTTGAGGTCTGGCATGACTCCATCGTGTGGGGTTCATCTGGCTGGTTGTTCTTCTTGTGGCCTCCCCCCTTGTAGCCCCAGAAGCTTTGAAAAAGGCTCTGCTCTGGTTTTCTTGGCACAGCCTCCAGGGTATCATAGGCCAGGCTCCTAGCGAGCTGTTCTAAGCAGCATGCAAGCGTCCTCTCTCCCCTTGGCAGGGATTGGGGATAGGTGGTAATGGTGTTCTGCTGAGGCCATTGGTTGTGATCTAGTAAGTGCATCTCCCATCACCCTCAATGTTTCCATCTGCTCCCCAGGGAAGACCAAATACTTCTTTTTTTTATTTTTTTAAATTTAAAAAATTTTTTTTGACAGGCAGAGTGGACAGTGAGAGAGAGAAATAGAGAGAAAGGTCTTCCTTTGCCGTTGGTTCACTCTACAATGGCCGCCGCTGCTGGTGCACCGCGCTGATCCGATGGCAGGAGCCAGGTGCTTCTCCTGGTCTCCCATGGGGTGCAGGGCACAAGCACTTGGGCCATCCTCCACTGCACTCCCTGGCCACAGCAGAGAGCTGGCCTGGAAGAGGGGCAACCGGGACAGAATCCGGCGCCCTGACCAGGACTAGAACCCGGTGTGCTGGCGAGGCAAGGCGGAGGATTAGCCTAGTGAGCCACGGCGCCGGCCCAAATACTTCTAAACCATTTTCCAGATCCCAGAGCACTGGAGCATGGATCTCTTTTGCTCCTTCTTAGCACTAATTTGTTCAGAGATGTAAGTTGAGGAATGAATGTGTCCTTATAGCATAAGATGTATTTAGACAAAACATTTATTGAGGCTTGATTTAATTTCTGATGTCCTATAGCACAGGGAGGTAACTCTGGTTGAAAATATTTAATTGTGTATTTCAAAACATGTAGTAGGGCATTTTAAGGTGGCTCGGGAGCGGCCCGAGGAGCGAGGCCCCGAGCCGGGAGCCATGCCGCGCTGAGGTGGGGGGGGCGCACAGCCGCCGCCGCCGCCGCCGCCGGGTGGGGTGGGAGGGGCGGGAGTCGCCGCCGCCGCCGCCGCCGCCTCCCGGGTGGGCGCCCTTCGCCGCGGACGCCGGCGGCCCGGGACGAGGCTCTCGTCACCTTAAATGGTTTTGAACCAATGAAGCTGTGTTCCCTTAGAGAGACGGACAGCCCATCGTGTGAACTGTAGTTTGTGGGCAGATCTATATTGGGTGCGTAGTGGCGTCATGCACGCAGACTCCTGCGAGTTCCCCTAAGTTCTTAGAGGACCGCTTTGCCTTTTGAATCAGAGAGTTGCAAAGTTCCCTAAAGAATGGCCCTTGTGGATAAGCACAAAGTGAAGCGACAGCGGCTGGACAGGATTTGTGAAGGTATCCGCCCCCAGATCATGAACGGCCCCCTGCACCCCCGCCCCCTGGTGGCCCTGCTGGACGGCAGAGACTGCACCGTGGAGATGCCCATCCTGAAGGACCTGGCCACCGTGGCCTTCTGTGACGCGCAGTCCACGCAGGAGATCCACGAGAAGGTGCTGAACGAGGCCGTGGGCGCCATGATGTACCACACCATCACCCTCACCAGGGAGGACCTGGAGAAGTTCAAGGCCCTCAGAGTGATCGTGCGGATCGGGAGCGGCTACGACAACGTCGACGTCAAGGCCGCCGGCGAGCTAGGGATCGCCGTGTGCAACATCCCATCTGCAGCCGTGGAAGAGACGGCCGATTCCACCATATGCCACATCCTCAACCTGTACCGGCGGAACACGTGGCTCTACCAGGCGCTGCGGGAAGGCACGCGGGTGCAGAGCGTGGAGCAGATCCGCGAGGTGGCCTCGGGGGCGGCCCGCATTCGTGGGGAGACGCTGGGCCTCATCGGCTTTGGTCGCACGGGGCAGGCGGTTGCTGTTCGAGCCAAGGCCTTTGGATTCAGCGTCATATTTTATGACCCCTACTTGCAGGATGGGATAGAGCGGTCCCTCGGCGTGCAGAGGGTCTACACCCTGCAGGACCTGCTGTACCAGAGCGACTGCGTCTCCCTGCACTGCAACCTCAACGAGCATAACCACCACCTCATCAATGATTTCACCATAAAGCAGATGAGGCAAGGAGCCTTCCTGGTGAATGCGGCCCGCGGGGGGCTGGTGGACGAGAAAGCCTTAGCCCAGGCCCTCAAGGAGGGCAGGATACGAGGGGCGGCCCTCGACGTGCACGAGTCGGAGCCCTTTAGCTTTGCTCAGGGTCCGCTGAAAGACGCCCCGAACCTCATCTGTACCCCGCACACGGCCTGGTACAGCGAGCAAGCCTCGCTAGAGATGAGAGAGGCCGCCGCCACCGAGATCCGCCGAGCAATCACAGGTCGCATCCCGGAAAGCTTGAGGAACTGTGTCAACAAGGAGTTCTTCGTCACTTCAGCTCCTTGGTCAGTAATGGATCAGCAAGCAATTCATCCCGAGCTCAATGGCGCCACATACAGATACCCGCCAGGCATCGTGGGCGTGGCTCCGGGAGGACTTCCTGCAGCCATGGAAGGGATCATCCCTGGAGGCATCCCCGTGACTCACAACCTCCCAACAGTGGCCCACCCCTCTCAAGCTCCCTCGCCCAACCAGCCCACAAAACACGGGGACAATCGAGAGCACCCCAACGAGCAATAGCAGAGAATGCAGAATGGTGATCACTCAGCTACACTCGGGACCAAGAGACAGTGAAACACACATGAACTAAGAAAAGGAATTTGACAGTCTTTTTACCTGATTCTGGACATACGCATCATTGACGTTGCAGTGTTAAACCACAAGAGCGAGAAGACGGAAGACGCCGTCTGCTTACGGAAGCGTGGAAGAGACTAGGACGTGACTTATTAACGACCAACTTCTGTTATTGTATGTTAAGTTTTTCATCTGTGCATCAAATCACAAAGAATAAATAGAGCTTTTTCCTTTATCAGTTCCTTGGGCGCGGCAGGCCCTGAGCTCCTTGCTCTAGAATGTTGCATCAAGAGTTCCAAACATCAAAATAAAAATATTAAGAGGAATCCCCATCCTGTGACTCTAGTCCCTTCGGTCTGCAGGGGCTCATTACCTCTTTTTGCTAATAGGAAGATTAAGTCCTACCAGATGGGGAGAAGACTGTCTGCCTGTGTTAGACGGAAGACAGAGAAGCGGCTCTCAAGTCTGAACTGCAGACCGAGCGGGCAGGTGGGCTGTAAGTTCAGTAACACCCTCTGATGATGCAAAAAAGAAAAAAAAAGTATTAAGTTTCACAAGCTGTTTGTACTCAAATATATTTTCTCAGTTTCAGATCCTCAGCTATTTTATTGAGTGGAAAGTCTTGAACTGAAAGGGTTCAAGAAGAATAATGTTGCATTTCCTTATGTCTGAGGAAACACTTTTTATGGTAACTTGTCAGATTGTCTATGAACAAACCCACTTTTTTAGACATTGATAAAGTCTTCTTTTCTTCACGTGATATTTTATACAAGAACACTTCAGATGTGTTATTAGATGTGACTGATTTTAACAAATCCTATTAGATTTGTATCAACTAGTTACATGTTCTACTCATAGTCTTTTGTGAATCATTGCCTTTTTGTTGAAAGATGGCCTATTTTGAGCCTTTGTATAGGTACATTCCTGTTTTTGTGACAAAAGAAAAACTTTAAAACTGTCCCAACAGAAAATTAATGGCTATCAGAAGTATGTTTTTGTTTTAGTGTGAGTTCCCGTTGCTGTATTTGTTTATTGTAAAGGTGGACATTTAGCGTTCAGTGCAGTTTTCAATAAAAAGTAATGAAAAAAAAAAAAACATGTAGTAGGGAGGACTTTGAATGTTCCCAATACAAAGAAATGCTAGATGACTGAGGTGATGGTTATAGGATTTACTATGATTTAATTGCTACACTTTGTTATGAATGCATCAAGCTATCGTATTATACCCCTTAAGTTTGTACAATGGCTTGTGAATTAAAAGTGAAAAAAAATTAAGATTTGGTTTAATGAACTCCTCTCCCCTCTCCTCCTCCTCCTCGAGTAGACAAGATGCCCTTCTAAGTCTTACCTAAAAAGCCATAGATAAACCTAGATTTTTAAAAGTTTATTGGCGGCTTAATCTCCCTGTACAGAAAAATCCTGTTTCCTGCAATTTCTTATTGGATCTGACATGACATGGGACATTGTTTCCCATCTTAGGCTCCTCTGATTTCATGTCCAATTTCAGAGAAGGCGATTTCTTCAGAAATCCCCTAGCCCATGATGTATCTTTGTTTGTTATAGGAAGGATGGGTTGTGGTGAGATGACTCTTCACTGCATGGACACTTGAAATGCAAGGCCTCCTCATTGGATCTGCAGGTGGATTCAGGGCCCGGGCTGGTGTGCTTAATTAGTCTGAATGTACTTTTGATTCTTCGACCTGGGACGCTTGGCTTCCGCCATTTCACCTTGCAGTGATTGGAAACCGTGCCAGCATCTGGGTCCTGGATTGTTTACCCTGCCGTGACAGATCGGTGACGCTTAGTGGTTGTTGTGGAGAGGTAGGGTGTGGTGAAGGGCGGAGGTGGGGACAGTGGCTAAGAAAGACTAGCAAATGGGATGTAGGAGGAATGGTGCTTGGACATGGAGAAATTTGGCAGGACAGCATCTACCTACAGAAACTTTCTCAGAAACTACTCAGGGGGAAGTGAGCTGGCTTAGTGTTTCCAACTGGTTGTTGTTAGCCACGATGCCCAGAGAATTTTGAAATTTAAGGATTTCTCCTTGCTAGTTCAGAATATTAAGTAATTGTGGAATCCATTAAAATTACTTGGAGTTGATGTGTTTGGGCTGATCATTTCCTTGAATTCTGAGCAGCCAGAAGTCCTCACCAGTGAGTGAGTGGGCTTACAAATTGTCAACCCTAGTTTATATTTAATCACTGCCTTAGAAAAGTGACTAGAACATGACTCCAATAACTTCATTGTAGGTCTAAAAGGTAGAAGAAACCAACTGGTTGCTGCTCCTCTTTGGTGTGGATGGTTCCCATTGAGATTTAAGGTTTTTGGAGTATCCTCACATTTCTATTTGAAATATTTTTTAATTAAACTTTTTTTATTTGAGAGGCAAGGAAACACAGAGAGAACTCTCATGTGTTAGTTTACTCTCCACATATGCACAATTGCCTGGGCTAAGCTGGGCCAAATCCAAGAACCTGGGAGCTTAATCTAGGTCGCCCAAGTGGGTGGCAGGGGCCAAATTACTTCAGCCATCACCAGTGTCTCCCAGGGTCTGCATTAACAGGAAACTGGAGTCAGTAGTTAGAGATGAGTGCTGTTACATGGAATGCAGTGTCTTAACCAGTGTCTTTGCCCAAACAAACAGCATTACAGCACTCCTGTCCCCTGGGAGTCCTTTACTGAGTAGCAGGGCGATAACACAGATGCGGGGAGATGGGAGGGAGTCACAGCTCCACCCCATTCCCCATGACACAGAGGACACATTCCCTGCGTACTGCCAGCTCCTGCTTTCAGATTTGTGCTGAGAGAGGGATAGGGGATCTGCCTGGACGACAGCCTACAGGCTTGGGTTCTCCAGCCCGATTAAATAAACATGTTCCTGCAGGACAAACTGCATGTCTAAATTCTTCTCTTTTGGGTTCTAAAAGTTGCTTTTGTTAAAAATTCTCTTTTCTAACCTGCATGTGAATAGCAGTGATATTCCTGGTGTGGGAGTTGGGTTCTCTAATGTTGACAGCACCAAGGCAGCCGCTTGAGGAAGCATTGTGTTCATCCAGAGGTCTCCCGTCAGGCAATACTAATAATCTACATTGCATTGCCCTCTGCAGTTCATGATGGTGTCTATAAAGAATGTTAACTGGGGGCCGGCGCCGCGGCTCACTAGGCTAATCCTCCGCCTAGCAGCGCCAGCACACCGGGTTCTAGTCCCGGTCAGGGCGCCGGATTCTGTCCCGGTTGCCCCTCTTCCAGGCCAGCTCTCTGCTGTGGCCAGGGAGTGCAGTGGAGGATGGCCCAAGTGCTTGTGCCCTGCACCCCATGGGAGACCAGGAGAAGCACCTGGCTCCTGCCATCGGATCAGCGTGGTGCGCCGGCCACAGCGTGCTGGCCGCGGCGGCCATTGGAGGGTGAACCAACTGCAAAGGAAGACCTTTCTCTCTCTCACTGTCCACTCTGCCTGTCAAAAAAAAAAAAAAAAAAAAAAAAAAAAAGAAGAAGAATGTTAACTGGGGCCGGTGCTGTGACATAGTGGGTTAGTGCCCTGGCCTGAAGCACCAGCATCTCATATGGGCGCTGGTTCGAGACCCGGTTGCTCCACTTTCAATCCAGCTCTCTGCTATGGCTTGGGAAAACAGTAGAAGATGGCCCAAGTCCTTAGGCCCCTGCACCCGCGTGGGAGACCTGGCGTGGGAGACCTGGAAGAAGCTCCTGGCTCCTGGCTTTGGACTGGCACAGCTCCAGCCATTGCAGTCATTTGGGGAGTGAACCAGCGGATGGAAGACCTCTCTCTCTCTCTCTCTCTGCCTCTCTTTTCTCTGTGTAACTCTTTCAAATAAAATAAATAAATCTTTTTTAAAAAAGAACGTTAACTACTACGTTGAAATACTCATAGTTTTCCATTTCCTAACACAATTTCAAAATCTTGTTCTGACATCCCTCTTTTTAGGTAGGCAGAAAAGATCCCAAATATTCACCCATTTTAAAACCCTGTGCTTTGAAATAATTCTGATAAAATTCTATTCTGCAGTTCATTGGCCTTATGTTTTGTTGTGATGAGAGACTGGCAAATATTGAGCCTATCATCCTGAGCTCAGAGTCTAATGAGAGGGGTGTGGATTTGTTTTTTATTTACTTTTTTGCAATGTTTGGTAGCTTAGGGGTAGCTGGGGGAAGCAAATTTGAGGAATTAAGGGAAACCAAAGCAATGTTGATATGTGTCTCCAGGGGTAATGGTTTAAAGTTCTATAAAATTGCCTCTCCTGCATCTCACATGGCCAATGAGGAAATGGCTTATGGAAAATGAGAAAATACCTGAGCAGTTGGCTGCAAATCTGAGTTCTTTGCGTATGTGTGTGGCTTGGCTGCATTCTTGGGACTTGGTAATGGAGTCATTATTTCTGTGTTTGATGGATTTCAGAATGCATGTTATTTCAACCCAAGCTGTTTCCCAGGAAACACAACCATTTGCCCTCTTTTTCTTACCTGGACTGAACCAGAGAGCTGTCTTCTTCCCAGGCAGGACAGAGCCTCCAACAAATAGGACCTTCTTTTACCTTTTATAAACCCGTGAACTTCGAACTTCACTTTTTTTTTCTTTTTAATGTGGGAATTTAGAGAACATTTTTTGGTTGCATGTATTTATATGATTTTTTTTTTACATTAAAACATATTACTTCCTACTGAGAAAAAGGTAATGTGACCGCAGAAGAAGTAAGCATATATCCTTGATGTCTTTCTTTTGGGAAATGACTATCAGGTGATGAAAATTGTGGGGTCCTTGAGAAAACTATTGGGTATCCTTCCACAATGTCAGCCAGCACCTGGCATAGCTTAGGAACAACCTTGGAGAAGCAGGAGGGTTTCATTACATTTCAATGCATTAACTACTGCCCAGGACACTAGAGTATCAAAAAGGAATGTCCCTGGCAAGGATGTTTTAGAATTTTGAAAGGTAGATGACGTAACTAAAGGTGGATGGCCTTCAATCAGACAGTTTTCTGTTCCAGTGCCAGATATGTGACGTAGCCATGGCTGGCTTTTGTGAAGGGTGAAATCGATGCAAATGTGCAGCCTAGCACAATGATGGCAGTGTTCAAGTAGCTTGCCCTCTTTTGCTCCCTTCCTCTGTCCATTGCCTTGAGGCTATGGGTGGAATTTAAGAGACATGAGGTCAGTTCAGTGGCTTGTTGAGATTTTCTTCATTCGGCGACATTGACCCTTTTTACAACTGTTACCAGTGGAGCTCACAATTATTATCATTGCTTTTTTATTAAAAAAATTTGTGCCAATGTTGTCGGCCACTGGCTTATAAACAGTCAAGGTTCTTTCTTTGG